GCCCAGCTAGTGCTGGAGGGTAGGCAGCGTGGATTAGAGCCACAGCACCTTGGAGCAGGGTTAGGTTGCATCAGCTGAGCCCTGTTCCTGGTTGTACTGACAGATGTTAATGAAGGTGCTCTGCTTTGAAGCATCTTCATCTGAATTCTCATATAATGAGGGTTCAGATTGTTACATAATCGGGCATTTTTAAAGTGCTCAGCCACGCATTTCTGTCAGTGCACAGCTGCAGAGTGCTTTCAGTTGCCGATCATGCAACAAACTATCATATTTGTCATCTCCTGGTGTGTCTCTGCTTCCCTTCCCACCTGGACCCTGGTCTGTGTTTAGCCCCATATGGCCCTGGTCTCAAATGAGGCCCAAAATTCCTCTGAAATTCAATCACTAATCACTTAAGGCATTCTGGCCTGGTAAACAGACCCTACAATAAGCTTTGGCTGCTTTGCACTGCATGGCAAAGTATTCTATCCATAAATGTGGGTCTCACCCCAGGAAAATGACAGTGTTTGGAGAATCTACCAGCAGCATAGAAACCTCTACCACATCTCCTTCCACAGTACAAAGAACATGAACAAAATGCTCCTATGCTATATCAATCTTCAGCTGACATTCCAGCCTCATGAGTATATAATAGTTATTTTCACTTCCTTTGCAACTCTTCCCCTTCCTTGAACTGTTTGCTTCTTGGTAGGAGCTGAGGATTTAACCCTGTGGCCTATATTAAAAAACAAAGTCTAGTATACTTTGAATGCATTGGCTTTTGGATGCTCAGTAAATATACCTCCACTGAGAGAAGACTGTTTTTAGGGGAATGGTCCCCAACAGCCAATGCTGCTTTTCAGTGTCAAGCCTTTGAGGCATTTCAATTTGTACAATCCAAAAACTCAAAATCATTGGTCAGTTTTGACATTGGCAGTTCATTTACATGCTGTTTCATGCAGCCACTCCCAAACGTCATCCCTTAAATTACAAATAGAAATCTCTACACTAAAAGGATTGCAGCTGGAAAGAACTTAGGATCTATAATACCCATACAGTGGTAAAACTGATGGAAAAGCTGTGTGGAAGGAATTCTTCAATAGGCTCCCTCTCTACAACTATTCAACCATTCTAGATGATGCTGGAACCTGGCCCCACTCAAAATAAGCCATTTGTTCTGCCTGTATACTCTACAGATCCCAAGAGATTTTGTAGAATTTTTGAGGGGCCTAAGTAGTCTATGTAGATATTCAAGTGCTCCAGAAACAATGCTGCTGCGAAAGATAATGCAGTCTCAGGCTGTGATGCCATTTCTTTATCAACAGGGCTGGAATGAAAGGACATTTCCCTCAGTTGTATTGTGACTCACCTTTTCAGCTTGCTGGTTTCTTTCCTACTAAGTCACAGTTATAGCATTTAGGCACGTGTGGAGTTGAATACCATAAAGTTGCTTTCCCACCTTTTTACAAAGGAATTAGGCAATTCATACATGGCTTAGTCCCTCTGTGAGTGTATGACCTTGCCCCCAAAACATGTGGCCATACAATCTGATGAGATATAACAAAAAACAACTGTAATGGCTGTTGTGAATATTCTGAGTCATATCATATTTTCTAATTTCAGTGTCCAAATGATCACAAGTTCTGTTTTTTATTCTCTCAGAGCCAATGCAAAGTGCTAAGTGGAACAAAGTGCTCCCCTCCCCTTGTCACCATCCACATATCCACAGGAGGCATAACTATCTCAGTCTTCTCTCTGTTTCCTAGCCTGTCATTTCACTATCTTACTGCCCTTGCAGGAAGCCTGCCCACAGCCCCTAATCCTCCTGGGTCTTGAGAAGAGTTTGGCTGACTTAACTTTAAAATCAGTTATAACCTGGGTTTCCAGACACAGGCAGAAGATAAGGAGCAATGGCTTTACTGTCTCAGTTCTGTGAAAGCAGGGGGGGCCGGGCCAGCCTTGCTCCACTGGAGCGAACAGCACAGCGTAGGGCTGCAAAGCATTCTGGGATGCTGGGGGACTGTAAGTTAATTTGAGTCAGGAGGGGATCTGGGACAGAAGTTCCATAACTTCACTTCATAAATCTACTGGATACAATAAATCATGGATTAAAGATAAACATTTGATTTATGGCACATTATAACCTGCCTGCCATCTGATAACCCCAGGTAACCTCTCCATATTTTCACAACTACAATCTGTCACCAGGTCAACATTTCTCCTCCCCTTCACCCAACTACCTGTTACACACCTATTGTCTTCCATAGCCTCTGATCCTCACTGCCATCCATTTGCATTTTCACAGACTTGCAGTTTGCATGTTGGCTTCCATTCCATCCAGGAGAACACAAAACAGCAGCAGACTCTCCCTATGCCTGAAGAAGGGTGTTTGTGACTGAAAGCTTGCAAAGAACATTTTTCCTACTATTTAGTTGCTCTAATAAAAGATACCACATTTACTCAAAGAACCTGGTCTGCCTATGTCCTTAGACAAACTTGGCTACAACCAACACCCCCATAAACCAGTTTGACATAAATCAGTAAGTCTGATATTACATCTATTTAGGTTTATCTTAAACCAGTTTCGGCTATTTTGGGCACACTGGAAGTGGCAATTTTCATCTGATCTGGCCACAGAAAGCTATAGTCATGACCAAATACAACTGCATAGCTGCAAACTGCTTAAAAGTGGCTGAACAAGCAAAAATATGAATCCTCATTGAATGAAGATGTTTCAAAACAGAGCATCTTCTGTAACTTGTGTTTGCACTGCTTCCCAGCCTTGAGCTGTTTTCAGAATGGGAGGGGGAAAAGGGGGCAGAGGAAGTTTCATTTGGTTTCTTTTCAGCCCCTGCTGGAGGGTAAGGCAGGTGTATGGCACCACCCCCCTAATTCACTCACCCCACCTTCCAGTGCTGGCTGGAAGACCCCTAGAATGAGCTCCCTCTGCTCCTCCCTTCTCCCCTCCCATTCGGAAAACAGTATTGGCTGGGATGGAGCAGGAGCCATTGCTAAAGGAAACCGGCTGCAGGCTTGCAGCCAGCAGCTAGATTCCCCTCCTCCCTGGAACCAACAGTGAACTTCTGTTTGGTCCAGGGGATCGTTGTAACTCAGAACACTTCCTGTAAAGCATTCTCAGTTACAGATGGGAGGTGCACTTCTGTCTGCACCCTCTGAAATAGATTTATGTGCACTGAACATTTGTTCTGTTATAGGTTTAAGCTGGTTCCTGTTGACTTAAACCAGTTTATGTGAAACTTCTGTCCCTAGCAAGAGTGACTAGTAAATGTGGCATCACAGGACATAGTCTGCCAAACCAGGAAGTCCTATGTTTTAGGAGGACTTACTCTGTATCACACAGTCAGTCATTCAATGACACTGGAAACATCTTTCTTTCTTCTTTTTTTTTATGTCCTGCCTTACAAAAACAAGGCAAATGTTTTATGTGGGGGTGTGTCATAGGTGAGAGAACATGATATATCACACTTTTTCACACCTTTTCCATAAAGAAGCATACTCCCAGTTGTACACTTGGTAAATCACTTGGGCCAGCAAGTAAATGTATGTAGTTAGGGTTTTCTGCAGTCCTGCCTTTCTCTGTTCCCATTTCTGATAGGCTTGTACTATAGAGTGGTAGCCAAGTAGCTCTTTCCCCACTCTCTGCACCCTAAGCAGTGTCAAAACATGGGAGTGGGGGGGGAGGGGGGAAATGGGTGTTCTTTAACTTTAATTCCCTATGTGGCTGGGGAAGGTCTTGTGGCTATCTGCACTGAATTCTGTGTGGCTGCCCACAGGGTACTGATGGCAGCTTTCAAGCTTTTTGGGTTTGTCTGATTATATTTTTTTAAAATAAAAGCCTTGGAAAAAAGAAAAGCTTTTTCAAGGGCTCAATAACACCTACAGTTCTTTGTGTTACACTTTGGCAGATATTCCTGATGTAGTAATGAAAATATTTTAACCCAGTTTACTCAAGTCTGATTAAACCAGCCTGGTAATGGTCAGAAATGGACCCATTGCTAACAGAAGCAGCCGAATGCACTAATGTAGGCAAGACTGTTGTCTTTAGTTTTAGACTGCAGATAAAACTTTACTAAAATGCCATCTATAAATACAGTTGCCATAGGTTGCAGTTTAGATACACACACACACACACACACACACACACACACACACACACACACACACACAGACTGAGAGAGAGAGAAAAGGTATATATAAAAATTGCTTTCTTTGCATGTGTCTCTTGCCTGCATAAGCATTTCAGGTTGATGCTTAGAGTGAATTATTGATATGCGCATCTGAATTGTTGAAAAGATGTACTGTACTACCATGATTTTCTATAACTGTAAGGAGATGTGAAACTAAAAGCCTTTCCTTCGTACTAGCTATTTCTGAGTTGGGAATTTCCTTTATTATGGTTCAGTTGAGTCATTGAATGAAATATTATGGAACAGCTGAAGACTAGGCTAGAGTGCCCATTTACAAGTGCATAACACCAGAAGATTTTCTGCTTGTTATGCAGGAATTCACAGAAACCGATTATGAAACTGTGTTTTATGATGTCTCTCTAGATAACTTTTTGAGATGCTATCACACTCATACTAATATTCAATTTGTTTCCTTTATATCTCTGTAACATTTTGCCATGGGGGGGGGCGGGGCGGGGGGGTTTACCTTCTTTTTATTGTCCTGTGTTTTATACCCATTATCAGTACCTTCTAGAACTGCTGTTGACCTCAGGAGGTCAGTGGGAGGTAGTTTTTCTAACTATGTGCATGCAAACCACAATAGTGAGGTAGATTTTTTTTTAAGACTCAGGTAAGCAACACACCAAAAACTCACTTTAACTTAACTGATTAAAGTGGCAAAGGTAATACACAAGCTACTTTGGCTGTGCTGTATGAGGTCTTAACACTTGAGAACTGGAGAATGACACAATTAATCATATGACTAATCCTTAACCCATTTTAGTTTACTTCCTAAGGGTACATGCAGATGCTCGCTGCACCTGGTCTACAATCACACTCAAGCCCCATGATCGTAGATCAGAATGGTGTGCGTCCATTCGATGGTCCCAGGAGCTGTGCTAGGAATCTGGTGTAAGTAAGCAGGGGTGCGGGGAGGGGCAGGGGAGATCAGGGGAGACTAGAAGTTCTGTGAGAGGCTTTGACAGGTCCATAGGGAGTTGGTGGGATGGACGGGGGGGGTGAGGAAGGTGGTCGGTGGAAGAGGGTTGTTCATCGGGAGGGATGTAGGGGGATAAAAATAGCTTGGTCACATTTGGGGCAGGAGAGGAACAACACAGCCTCAGGGGCAGGGGTGAGCAGCTGGGCTTTCCCAGCCCTGGGGCTACCTTCCAAATAGGTGGAGACTAACCTGTTCTCAGTCTAAGTTAATTCACCTTCTCATGCTGAACAAGCTTTAGTTAAAACACCCCTGCTGCCATTTTGAAATGTAGGTCACTGAATACTCTGTGGGTGTTTTAATTAGAGTGGCTTCTGAGAGCCTCCCCTCACCACCCTGGAGCATGTATATAGGCACACTTAGGGTGCATCTACACACCCAAAAGGAAGCATGGTGCAGTATGGTAGTTACTGCACTGTGTGCAAATTGCATGTGTAGGTTTTGCTACTATGTCACCATAGTGGCATGCTATACTAGGGGAGCACGCCATTATGGCAACGTATCAGGTGATCATGTGTATAACACTGTGATCCCTGCATCTAGCACGTTGTTATGTCACCATAGGGTGATGTGTAGATGTGCCCTTAGTTT